CTCTCTGCCGCAGGACTGGGCTCCGGTTCTAACCAGGAGGTGGGCTTGAAACCCTCCCTCCGGGGCCACCACATGAGCATGGACAGAAGCAAATTGTTTGATTTTTTATCCCATACTTTGAAAGAGCAAGAGGCGAATCCTAGAATCCCAAAAAACTAGAACAGGAAGGGACCTTGAGAGGTCATCGAGTCCAGTCACTTACCCTCACGGCAGGACCAAGCACCGTCTAGATCATCCCTGGTAGATGTTTATCCTACCTGCTCTTAAATATCTCCAGGGATGGAGATTTCACAACCTCCCTAAGCAACTTATTCCAGTGTTTCCCCACCGGACAAGTAGGAAGTTAAGTTCACCTGTGGAACTCCCTGCCACCAGATGGGATTGAGAAGGACTTCTCAGGAGGGATGGGGTGTTGACTTGAGCAGAAGCTACCAATGATAGTACCAAAACAAACATTGCCCAGGGTACAAAACACCGAGGGTACGTCTAAACTACATGCCTCCATCGACGGAGGCATGTAGATTAGCCAGATTGGCAGAGGGAAATGAAGCCGCGATTAAAATAATCGCGGCTTCATTTAAATTTAAATGGCTGCCCCGCTCTGCCGATCAGCTGTTTGTCGGCAGATCGGGGCAGTCTGGACGCGCCGCGCCGACAAAGAAGCCTTTCTTGATTGGCACAGGTAAACCTGGTTTCACGAGGCATACCTGTGCCAATCAAGAAAGGCTTCTTTGTCGGCGCGTCGCGTCCAGACTGCCCCGATCCACCGACAAACAGCTGATCGGCAGAGCGGGGCAGCCATTTAAATTTAAATGAAGCCGCGATTATTTTAATCGCGGCTTCATTTCCCTCTGCCGATCTGGCTAATCTACATGCCTCCGTCGACGGAGGCATGTCGTCTAGACACACCCCAAGTTTCAAGTCTGAACCCAATCTCTACGCACGAAGGACCAAGGTGAGCGATTCAAGTGAGGACCCTCAAAGTATCTAAAAGGGTGTCACAAGGAGGAGGGAGAAAAATTGTTCTCCTTGGCCTCTGAGGGCACAGCTTTCACCCGACATCTCAGAACTGGCAGGACAAGAAGCAATGGGCTTAAACTGCAGCAAGGGAGGTTGAGGTTGGACATTGGGAAAAACTTCCTGCCTGTCAGGGAGGTTAAACTCTGGAATAAATTGCCCAGGGAGGCTGTGAAATCTTCATCCATGGAGATATTTAAGAGCAGGTTGGACACACACCTATCAGGGATGGTCTAGATGGTGCTGGGTCCTGCCATGAGGGCAGAGGACTGGACTCGATGACCTCTCGAGGTCCCTTCCGGTCTTCATGTTCCAAGATCCCAGGTCATCAAAGAGGAGCCAGTGGAGTTGTAAGTTTCTAGGGGGCACCTTGAGCCATCCCCGGGGGTGGACATGGGTTTGTGGGTAGAAAGCACCTTGTTCTCTCTAGGAGAGGCTGTTACCTGCAGTGGCCGCCGGCCGGGGAAGGAACTGGAGAAAGGCTGGAAGAGAGAGGAGAGGGGGTGAGTTCTTTGGATGGGGGGCAGGGGAGGCACCGACCAATGGGGCTCGGGGTGGGGTGACTTACCCAGCACAGGCAGGAGAGTTGGCGCCATGGGACCCTGGGTTCTCACGTGCACCCGTCCCCCCCCGGCACCGTCTCTGCACCGCAAAGCAGAGATTCAAGCCCTCGGCCCCTGTGGCAGGAAATGCAGGGACGGCCGCAGAGAGTCAAACCCTCCGTTTCCCCACGGATATTTCAAAACCCCAGGCTGGGGCATGATGCACCATCTCCCAGGAGGCCTTGCAGGCTGACATCAGAGTTGTGACACCCCCCCAAACGGACCCGGTGAACCCTAATCTCCCTCCCCCCCCCAAACCCAGCCACAAATCCTGTATCTCATCTGCCTCCCTGACCCAGAGCTGGATCAGAACCAGCACCGCGTAGGGAGAGCCCAGGGCCCCCTCCCCACCTTCCCCCCAGTTAGAATCCTACTTCCCTAAGCTGTAACCACTACACTTCACTCCCTTCTCGGAGCCAGTGTGTTGATTTAAAACCTACCCCTCTGGAACTTGTGTCAATTAACCCTCAACCATTGTTGGCAGAGTTTAGAAGCCTTCCCAAGCTGTTGGTTATGTTGGTAGGCGTTACAGCAGTCACAGTCTTGCCTTTCCCCAGGGCGTGTTGTACCCTGTTTGGACTGCTGCTTTGATCCCGGCCTCAGAACAAAATCCAGCGGCCAGGAGTTCCATAGGTGAATGCCGCATTGCGTTTCTTTAATCTATTTCTGTGTATTCGTGCAGACTCCGCTGGGAATCCAGTGTGTGTGTGCGTGTGTGTGCAGAGTGGGGTGCTTATCTCTTTTAATGCACCTGTGACTCAGTTTCCCCCTTTGTCCACTGCTTGCCAGTGCACAAAAGAGATGAAGGTGAGGACCTGAGCCCAGTTTGTAAGTACCGAGATGGAGGTTGTGACAGGGTGTGCATCCTGCACACTGGGACTTCAGGTAGAGGAAGTCCCGCCCCTCCTCCCATACTGAGCATGCTCCAAGTGCTGGATCAGTATAAAAGGGAGCAGCTCAGTTCAGTCTGGGCTGGGTGCCAGAGGAGAAGGACCTACGGCAGGAGCACCAGAGAGCCTCCAGTCAGAGACCCGGAGACTGCATCGAGCTGGAGGAGTCTCAGGGGGAGGCTGGCGCTGTGGAACCAGAGGACCCAGACCCATGTGGATTGGGTAAGAAAATGACCCAGGAAGGATGGCCCTCTACATGAAAAAAAAAATGTGGGATCAAATGAAGTTATTCATGTCTTCCCAAAATAGAAGAACTAGGGGTCCCCAAATGAAATGAACAGGCAGCAGGTTTCAAACAAACCCAGCGCATGGTTAACCTGTGGAACTCCTTGCCAGAGGATGCACTGAAGGCCAGGACTTTCACAGGGTTCAAAAAAGAGCTAGATAGATTCAGGGAGGTTACGTTCATCCATGGCTATTTGCCAGGATGGGTAGAAATGGTGTCCCTCGCCTCTGTGTGGAGGTGGGTGACAGGGGAGGCATCATGTGACGATTCCCTGTTGTGTTCCCTCCCTCTGGGGCATCTGACATTGGCCACTGTCGGCAGACAGGACACCGGGCTGGATGGATATTTGATCTGAGCCAGTACGGCCGTTCTTACGCATTAATACTCTTAAATGAACCGAACTGTTCCATGGACTCTCTCTGGATAGTAATAATAGAGCAGTAGGGATATATTATCGACCCCCTGATCAGGACAGGGATATTAGAGAGGCGATCGAAATAAAGCGCTCGATAATAGCGGGGGATTTCAGCTATCCCCATATGGGCTGGGTTTCTCTCATCTCAGGACAGGATGCAGAGATAAAATGTCTTGGTACCTTCACTGACTACTTCTTGGAGCAGCTGGTTCTGGACCCCACAAGGGGAGAGGCAAATCTTGATAGAGTCCTCAGTAGAGCACAGGATCTGCCCAGGCGGTAAATATTACTGGACCACTTGGCGGTAGTGACCAGAATATAATTGAAAGTAACATCCTTGTGGTGGGAAAAATAGTGTAACAGCCAACAGGGTGGTATTTGATGTCAGAAAGGGGGAACGACTCTGGGTAGCAGGTTTAAAACTAAGAAAAGGAAGTTCTTCTTCACACAGCGCCCAGTCAACCTGTGGAACTCCTTGCCAGAGGAGGCTGCGAAGGCTAGGACTATAAGGGTACGTCTACACTACCACCCTAGTTCGAACTAGGGTGGTTAATGTCGGCAAACATCCCTGCTGCCCCCTGGTGGGACAAACCCTGTCCAACACTCCGTAAGCAACTAACGTCCCTGGCTTATAATAAGAGAAAAGCGCTTATTCTAGCGATCAGTGTCGGTGCTGCCGTGCTCCCTCTCCCCAGCCCAGCCCAGCCCGTGCCGTTGGTTTCGGGGGGGGTGGCTCGGCTCCGGCAGGGTGCTGCCAGCTTTGCTGTGGCTGGCCGGGGGGACTCCGCCGCAG